GTAACCCCTATATAAACCCAAAAGGTTAACCTTTAGTTCCCCACTCTTCTTAGGGTTTAGGGGTTTAGGGGTTTAAGGGGCTTAAGGTTTTAGGGTTTAGGGGTTTTAGGGTTTGGGGTTTAGGGGTTTTAGGTTTGGGGTTTAGGGTTTAGGGTTTAGGGTTTAGGGCTTCGGGGGTTTATGGCCCTGAACCCTACTTGGAGGATCATGGGACTTAGTAAGTAAGGCTATATAAAGTTGTAAATATGGCAACTATACTTACCTTAACCCCACTAAAAATACGCTTAACCTTATTTACTGAGTCCCATGATCCTCTAAGTAGGCGCCCCCCCTATACCGCTAAACCCTAAACCCCAAACCTTAAACCCTAAAGCCTAAGCCCCAAATTTGCCAAATCCTAATCCCAAAGGCTCCTTACCCTAACCCACACCCCTGGTGCGGACACATGGTCGTCGGCGCAAAAGCCGCCGTGGATGGCATAGGTGAAACCCTCCTGACAAGATTGCGGGATCCCAGAAGCTTTCGAATTCTCGTCTGGAACCCCTAAACCCTACACCCTAAACCCCTAAACCCTAAACCTCCGGTATAGGGCTCAAGGCTTTAAAGGAATCAGGGTTTTGGGTCAGAGTTTGCGGCTTAGGAGGTTTAGGCTTCGGGGCTTAGGGCTTGCAGGGTGTAGGGTTTTAGGGTTTAGGGTTTCGGGATTTAGGGTTTAGGGCTTAGGGTTCGGGGCTTATAGGGTTTGAGTTTGACGATTTTTGTGGTTGAGGGTGTCGGGCTGCTGGTTTATGACTGGCTTTCAAATTTCTAGGGTCACCCGTAAGCCGCAAACCCTGAACCACGGCCGAACCCTATAATCCGACCCCGACCCTGTAGGAAGCCTGATAGTATGAACCCTTAAGTCAGTTTAGGGTTTAGGGTTTAGGGTTTAGGGTTCGGTCACCCTACACTAAACGCCTAAACCCTAAACCCAACACATGGCTTCTACGCATGTCACGAAACCTCTGCACAAGCGGTTTCCTAGAGTTTAGGGTTTAGGGTTTGTTTAAATGTGCAGTGGGTTTAGGGTTTAGGGTTTAGGGTTTAGGGATACCCAGCCCCCTTCAAGGATCTAATAAACAGAACGAGAAGGCATGCTCTTCGAACGTAGTTTAAGATGGGCTTTCTTTTCATATTTAGGGCAGGGGGGCTATTGTTTAGCGTACAAGAGTCGAGCCTTTAGGCTTTTGGGGTGTTTTGGGGCTTTGGGGGGCTTTGGTGGTGTCGGGTTCAGGGTGGTAGTCGTGGTTTATACTACTGTCCCTTATTGTCCCCCAACCCTAAACCCTACACTCCATTCGTGCTTGAGGGTTTAGGGGCTCAAGGGCTTTAGGGCTTATAGGGTTTAGGGTTTATGGTTCCCGGAAAACTCATGAACTCAATACGCAAAGCCCTAGATTCAGGCTGTTGTTTCTTTGGCGTCGGCCAAATGCTCACAGAGCGGGGGTTGCTTTCATGGGATGTGCTATATGTGCTTTAGTACATGCGGGGATAGGATCTTTAATATAGGGGCCTGAACAACTAGAAAAGGGCCCATTATACTTTAGGGCCCGTTATACTATATTTATTACAAGGAGCCCATTATAGTTTAGGGACCATTATACTATATTCATAACAAGGAGCCCATTATAGTTTAGGGCCCATTATACTATCTTTATAACAAGGAACCCGCAAAATCCTAAACCCTAAACCATAACGAGGAACCCCCAAAAAAATAATATTGGTAATTGTTTAGGCGCCTTCATTAGTAAGGGAACCCAGTTCCTGAACCCCAAACCTGAAACCCTAAACCTTAAACCTCCAACCCTACACCTTCTTCTGCAAACTTGTACGGTTTAGGGCTTAGCGTTTACGGATAAACCCTAAAACTCAAACACTAAACTTTAATCTCTAAACCTGAAGCCCTAAACCAAGGTATATAGACCTTCAATAAGGCTCCTATAACGGTAACTACCCACCTGAACATGTCCTAGACTGAACCCTGAAACCCTAAACCCTGAACCCCAGGCCTAAGACCGTCCCATAAAAAGATTTTCCCTAAACCCTCAACCCTAAGCCCATTTTCCCTAAACCCTAAGCCCATCCTTCCGGAACTTTAGGTTGCCTTACAGAACCTCCGGGAGTACTGGGGGGAATTGGAGATGACCAGGCTCTGTACCCCCTTTAAGGATCCCGTTTAAAGGACCACAGTCTCCATTGGTTCGGTTTAGGGTTTAGGGTTTAGGGTTTAGGGTTTAGGGTTTACGGTTTAGGGTTCCCCCCCCCTCACGATTGAGCGGGGCACCAGTGGGTTTTGTGGGGCCGGTGCGGTTTTGGCATTTTAATTTTGGGGTGTGGGGCTTGGTTATGGTTTGGGTTACGCACCCTGAACCCTACACCTTAAACCCTGAACCCTAAACCCTGAACCCCAAACCCTAAACCACAAACTTTGAACCCCAAACTGTGAACCCTAAACCCTAAACCCTAAACCCTACGCCGTGAACCCTAAACCCTGAACCCTGAACCCTAAATCCTGGTTTAGGATTTAGGGCTTCGGGTAGGATTTAGATACAGTAAACCCGACATCTTAGACGCAAAACCCGAACCCTAAACCCTGGGTCGCTGGGTCTTCCGGCCCTCAAACCCTGTGTTTCAGCCTTGAGGGTTTAGCGTTTAGGGGTTTAGAGCTTAGGGTTTAGGGTTGGTTTAGGGTTTAGGGTTCAGGGTTTAGGGTTCGCGGTGTAGGGTTTAGGGATTGGGGTTTAGGGCTCAGGGCTCAGGGTTTAGGGTTTAGGGTTGAGGTTCAGGGTTTATGGTTTGGGGTTTATGGCTTTGGGTTTTTTAGGGTTTGGGGTTTAGGGTCTATGGTTTATGGTTCAGCTCTGAGGGTTTAGGGTTTTTTGGTTGAGTCTTGAGGTTTTGGGGTTTAGGGTTTCTGGTTTAGGGTTTAGGGTTTAGGGTTTAGGGTTAATGGGTGTAGGGTTTAGGGTTTAGGGTTTAGGGTGTAGGGTGTAGGGTTTAGGGACCAGAGACCATTCACTGGAAAAGTCAACTCAGCTCGCTCTGCGACGGCACTCGCAGGCGCTCGACGCGGACCATCATCATGTCAGGCCGAGGTTTCTTCCACGCGATGGAACTGAATGCACAGGTCTTGAACCACGGAGTGTCCAAGGAGGAGACATGTTTTCGTCCCCACCCAGGCAGGGCATGTACCTCCGCAGATGTTGTCTCATCAGCTTCCCGTCGCATACATTCTTGTGCGACAAGCCCCAGATGACCAGGTGGTACTTGCCCGGCTTTTGTTTAGGGTTTAGGGACCCTTGTAGGTTGTTGGGATTAATATGGAGACTACCTGGCTATATAAGGGGTATATAAGGACTATACAATGGTTACTTAAGGTAATGGGATTAAGGGTTTTTCTGTTAGGGGTCCCTCCTAAAGTCCTTCGATAAACCCGAAACCCTGAACCCTCAAGTGCTAACCAAAGCCAACCTTCTCATCAGCTGAGAAGTACTCGGTCGCATCCCAGCCTGAACAGAGGGTCTATACGGTTTAGGGCTTAGGCTTTGGGGGGACAGGGCTTAGTATAAGTGCCCTAACATTCAGAATGAATAGGGTTTTGGGGTATGATATAGTATACTTGTAATAAGGAACCCTATGGAATAATGTTGGTAATTACCCAGACCACCGGGAGGATCTAAAAAGTAGATCCCCTCACTTGGGACCCTAACTACTATAGGAACCGCTTTGGGGATCTATTTTTTGGATCCTCCCGGTGGTCTGGGAATGAGCTCAATTCAAGGATTCAGGGCTAGGGTTCAGGGTTCATTTTTATAGTGCACTGGGTTTAGGGTTTAGGGTGTTGGTCACGTTGTCGGTTTTGTGCTCAAGGTGCGCACAAATACTGCCAAGTCTGGCGCGCGGCCGCCAATATCCAAAAAACCGACCTCCCTACCCCCTAAGAACCCTAACCCTAAACCCTAAAACGGATCCGAAACCCCAGTGGCCAAACCTTGATCCCCAAAACCGTCCTCAAAGCCCCCACGCCGTAAATCACTACATCCCTGCCGAGCCCCATGAAGACCAACAGAACTTGATACTAAAATCTGAAATCCGAAGCCCTGATCTCACCTACAACGTTATGACACTCATACCTAGATTCTGAATCAAGTTCAACATTAAGCCATCCTAAACCCTATCCCAAAACCCTCCCCCGAGCTCCCGGGCGGGTCACAGGCACCTTCACCAATCCGTCCGCACCGCCTGATTGGGGGTTTGGTTTAGGGTTTTTGTTTAAGGGTGCAGTGGGACTTTCGCTCGCCTGACTCCATGCCCAATTTGGGATTAAGGTTTCGGGTTTATGGTTTAGAGTTTAGGAGCTTGGGGGCTTAGGGTTCACAGTTTAGGGCTTTTGGTTTGGAGTTGAGGTTTGGGTTGTAGAACTTTGAGTTTGGGTTCAGACTTTCGGGCTTCGGGGTTTTAGGGTTGAGGGTTTAGGGTTACTGGCGGAAGGTTTAAAGTCTCCGCGTGTCCGTGCGTGCATGCTGTTCTCTGGCCACTCCAAGAGGGGGGGGGGGGGTCGAAGCATTTTTCGGTGTAGCAAGTCTACTATCCGTTACTGACCCTCAGACCCCAAGCCCTAAACCCTAAACCCCAAACCCTGAACCCTGAAAGCTAAACCCTATACCCTAAACCATAAACCCTAAAACCTAAACCCTGAACCCTGAACGCTATACCCCAAAACCTCAAACCCTAAACCCTGAAAGCTAAACCCTATACCCTAAACCCCAAACTGAAAAACCCCAAACCCTAAAGCCTAAACCCTAAACCCTGAACGCTATACCCTAAAACCTCAAACCTAAACCCTAAACCCTAAACCCTTAAACCTCAGACCTAAACCTTTAAACCACAGACCTAAACCCTAAACCCTTAAGGTGAGCCCCAGAACTGCAGGCCCGCTGACCCTACTTGGATTGGAGGCCCAGGGGACCTAGTAAGTCGGTTATAAGTGGCTTTAGAATTGGGATAACTCCATTTAGGGTACTTAAAACTCTACTTATAACCCCAATTAGGGTCCCTTTTAGGGTACTTATAAATCTACATATTACCTACTTGCTAAGTCTCCCGACCCTCCAAGTGCCCTCTAAGTCAGAAGAGCGTCCACGTGGACCCCACATCCCATCAAACCCTATCCTAATGTACGGGCGGTTTAGGGTTTAGGGTTTAGGGTTTAGGGTGTAGGGTGTAGGGTTTAGGGTTTAGGGCTTAGGGTTACTATTTTGGGGGGTTCCGTATAGTAGAATGGGCCCCAAAATCCTACTCTAACTACTAAGACACCTATATTGAAGCCCGTTTGCAACCCTTATACGGATTCTTGGAAGGCAGCAGCCTTAGGAACGATATCAGCCATGTGCGGTTGCCAATCTTCGCTTCTAGAGTGGCAACCCTGGCGCTGGGAACACAAGGAAGCCTCGGTGCTTGTGGTTGGCAATGCCATTCTTAGCGAGAACGTCAACAGCATGCAAGCCAGAGCACAGGCCGTAGTCTATACGGCGCGACCCGCTGCAGGTGGCAGGGAGCTGATGCGCACTAAACGCTTCATCGAGGCATCTAGCAGCCCCGTTGGCAAAGAGCGAAGCCAGATCATGGCACTGGAGATTATGATCACCAAGCACTACCCACGGCTTCTGAAACCAATTCAGCTGATCAACCTGCTCAGCAGCGTGCTGTCTTGCATGCGGCACATTGCCGCATGATCATACCGGTTTAGGGTTTAGGGTTTAGGGTTTAGGGTTTAGGGATTAGGGTTAGGGTAGGGTTTAGGGTTGGTTTAGGGTTGGTTTAGGGTTGGTTTAGGGTTTAGGGTTTTGTGAAGCCCCATAAAAACAACCCTACCAAACACTCCGTAATATAGGAGCCTGAATAATTAGAATAGGGTTTGGGGCCCCATTATACTGTACATTTAAATCAGGAACCCCCCAAATAGTAACCCTAAGCCCTAACCCTAAACGCAAAGCCCAAGGCCCCTACATTAGATAACTATAATAAGGAACCCCAAAATAAAAATCGTAATTATTTCGGCCCCTACCATTAGATAGGGTTGGAGGTTAGGGCCTTGGCGTAGGGCCTCAGAAGCTCAGAACTTCGGAGTGCAACTATCAGGCTTGGCATGTAGTGGTGCAATACTAACAAGATATACATTTAGGGCTTAGGGTGCGGGGTTTGGGGTTTAGGGTTTAGGGTGATCATAATGGCAATGATGAAGGTAATAGTAATGGCAATAGCAAGAGTAATCTAACAAGAACCCTCATAGTAATTGTAAGCTGAACTAAGCCCTAAACCCTAAACCCTAAACCCTAAACCCTAAACCCTAAACCTTTAACTGTTCCTTAAAAAGCTCTGGTCTGTCAAAGGAGTGTGATCAAAATCACACGTGCACAAACATAATGTGGGTGGTTATCTAAATTAGGGTCCTTTTAGGGTCCATTCTATAAAGGTGCCGTGTACTATATTGGGGACCTAAAAAGGAACCCTAACTTAGAGAACTACCCATGTGCATATCACAAGGATACATGTGTACACGTGCAGCAAATGCGCATGAATGGTTACCTAGAACCTAGAAACCGGCAAGCACGCACGCCGTGCTACTGTGCAATCTGCAACTTTGCGGCTTTATGCCTGCAAGCATACATTCAAACATGCATGCATATACACACATACATCAATAATCCTAAACCCTAAACCCTTAACCCTAAACCCTAAGCCCCTAAACCCCGACACACCCTAAATCCCCAAACTGAAAAAACAAATTCCGATCCCCCGAGGCCATGGCCTAATGCGACCAGCCAGTACGACTCCTGGTGCCGGGCATCGCCGGGGTAGTGGCAAGCCATGGACCTGGCTGTTTAGGGTTTAGGATTTAGGGTGCCCGCTTGTCCGCCGAGGTTTGGGGGTTAAGGGTTTGGGGCGCTCCTTTGAAAGCCTAGGTTTGCCAGTATCTCTCTATGTGGGCTGCGTAAGGGCTTTATGAAGCCTTAAGGCTGTAAGGGCTCATAGTTTAGGCTTTTGGACCCGAAGGGCAAACTATATAAGACTTTGGGCTGTTTGGGCTTTATGAAGTTTGGTATAAAAAAAAAATATATATATATATATATGTTATAAAGGAGTGCTTTGCTGACTCGTCTAGGAGCCCAGAAACGCACTAACCCTAAACTCCAGAGTGTACCCCGGGGGTGCGGGAACCGAATCAGTTTCAGTTTCAGTTCAGTTTCAGTCTTAGTTTCAGTTCAAGTGGTAGACACGACCAGTAATACTATTACACTACTACTACTACTACTACTACTACTACTACTACTACTACTACTACTACTACTACTACTACTACTACTACTACTACTACTACTACTACTACTGCTATTACTAGTACTACTACTACGA